TTTTTTTTTTTAATTTTTAAAGTCATTTTTTACTAACTTTTATTTTTCAATCTCCCACCAGAGTTATTTCTTTTCTAGTAATCAGTTTTTAACCAAATTTTCAGCAATGATGCGTTTTTATATGATGTATGCAATCTGGCAAAAGTTAATTATAAAACATTTCAGAGTTTTAGATATTGCTGCTTCAGCACTAATTATATTTCAATACAATTGCTTAATTATTTTATCAACACAATTGCTTATTTAAAAATCTTCATAATCCGTGTAGTGCTACGTGGAAACTAATATTCAGATTTAAAAACTTGTGGCATATTGCAAAGATCAAACTGTTTTTATCATTAGGCCAAGTTTTAATTTGAATACTCAATTAGCATCTGAGATATTTTTGACGGTGCAATTTGCATATTTTCTCATATCCGCCATTTTACGTGGTTGTTATGAAAACATAACTATCTTTAATTTTATAAATTAAAGATAGTTATGTTTTCATAACAAAGATCAGAGAAAAGCCGCAAGAACTTATTGTGCATTATGGTACATAGTAAAATGCTTTAGCAAAAAAACCAAAGCCTTAAATCTTAAACACCTTTTTTTGCAAATGCGAAATCAATCAACACTTTTAACATTTTATTTGTAGTAATGTCGCCAACATCTGTACCAGTTTTCAGCTCTATGCGATTTATTGTAAACTATTTTTTAAACTATTAAAGTTTTAAATTATTGTAAACTACTTTGACAGAAAATGATTGTTATAATTATTGAATTAAAAAAATTAAGACAAGTTGATATAAACTTGAGCTAATAAAAGTTGTACGAAATAATAAAGATGGATAAGTTGTAAGATATTTGCACAACAAGAAGATCTGAGGTATGGGGCTATTTTGAATTTTCCGAAGAACTGCAGTGTTTTAAGTGCAAGCACTGTAAGTTATTCTTAAAACACTTGGTTCAACAATAACAACTACTAAATTTAAAGTATTTAAAAACAGAACACAAAATTGAATTCTTAAATAAGCAATAATTCTGCGTCAAATCCCTTGTGTTCAAGCCGTTTGCAATCTTGTCATTAAATATTTCAGGTTAGTCAAGAAACAAATAACAAGTTTTTTGAAAATGAAATTATGATCAAGATAAAGTTATAGTAAAGATGGGAATGATGTTGGTGATAATATGTAAATGAAGTTAGTGATGATATTCAAGTTATTAAAACAGTAAGTAAAGATTTTATTCCAGTATTGTAATTTTGTAATAAAATTCGGTAAAAAATTTTGTAGATCGCCAGTGAGCAATAATGATGAACTTCAGCCAAAAATAATTGAAAAGTTTGGATAAGAAAAAGTTTTCATTTGTGATTTAAGGACAAGATAGATCAGTCTTAATATTCTTGAACGTTTTTTGGAGGTGCAAACAAGTAAAAATATATCTGATTGGTATAAATATTGATTTTCCTCTAAATAAAAATTCGCTTGATGAACTTTAAATGATTTATTGAATAAACATTCATATAATTCATCTTATGAAGAATATGTTAAATCTGAATGTCTCAAATAAAGTAAATTTTAAATCAAATGACAAAAAATTTGTCAACAAGATTAAAAAAAAGATTACTAATCATGCTATTAATCTCATTCAGCGATTATTTCAGTCATCTTACTATAGCTCTGATGTTGACAGTTAATACTGATAGTGAAAACTGATCATGTGAAAAGAATTAAAACTGAATTGAATTTAGCATTTTAAAATTCATATTTTTTATTGAACAGACATTGAATTTAAAAAAGAATTGGCTGTTTTTGACCCAAAAATCAAATGGCTGTTCTGACCCGAATATTTAGATTGACTTTTTAAAGCTCTTCAAAAAATTCTTCTTACACCAGTAGAAACTGAGAGAGCTTTTTCTAGTTCTAGACAGTTTGCAACTAAAGTAAAAAACTCTTTAAATGATGAAGCCTTAGATACATTGACTTTTTAAAAGCAAACTAAAAAGAATACTCGTTGATATTATTTGCCTTATTAAATTGTTGTTAAATTTTTTTTATAAATATAAGCAAATAATTACTTTTACGCAAGGCCTTCTTAAACAGGCCGCGACAGCTAATTTTCCGTAAAATTAGCGAAGGCCGACTTTTTTACGGTTAAAATTATTTTTTATCTTTGCTTTTGTAAACAAACTTCAGAAACAAATAAAGAGCTTTATTAGAACAAAACATTTTGATTGAATTTCGAAAGCAAATATTGTAGGAATTTTTTCTACGTTTAGAAATAAGTTAATTACAATAAAAATTTAAGGAGTTTAGCTAAAAATGACTAAATCTCGTTTTTATAACTATATGTTTATTTTAGCTGTTTAACACTTGTAATACAAATAATAAATTTTTTGATAAAAACAAGCAAATATATTAACTTTATTTTATTAAAATTATTTTGACTTTTTTGACTCAAAGTATTTTATTTTGAAGTTGAAAGTTTTGCTTGTTTTATTAAACATTCCTTCCCAAAATCTTCAGAGTGTTTTTTACAATAATTGTTTAAAAAAACGTTTGCCAAAATGCAGCAAACTTTTTTAACACTTTGAACAAGCAATTGAAATTTACTATTGCAGTTAATAAAAATGTCAATTAATCCTTTCTTGCACAGCAATGGTGAAACTTTATTCACAAGTATCACTTCAAATATAAAAAAACAATAAAAAACAAAGTAGACTAAATTGTCAGAAGGCTCTCTTAGTCTTCCCCTAATCAAAGAAATGATCAAAGTTCCATATTTTTGAAACATATCAAAGCTGTCTGTTTCTTCTAAAATTGAATGTAATTCTGGAAGTTTGTAAGCAATAAAACCTTCAATACATAAAAGTCCTTGATTGCATTCATTTGGCAACTAATCCTCACAATTTTCACATATTGACATAATAAACTCCACATCAAGTTCACACTTATCACAGTGGTGGTGAGCAGGAGGAAATATTGTAAAATCTGTATGCTTGACTAGCAACTTTCTAGTTTTGTCGATTCTAAATTTTTGAATAACATTTTGCACAGTTATCAGATATGTGCCACCTGACCCTTGCCAATATCTCCTAAACTGTTTTTCTAGTGCATCTGATTGCATATGTCCTAACAATACATAAGATACACTGCAATTCAACAAATACTTGGCACAGCTTGCTAATCTTTTAGAAGTTTTTTGCAAAGCACTTGCAGTATCCATTGTTAACTTTTTCTCTCTTAATTTTAAATTTACGCATTTCAAATTTTCAGCAAAATACGAAATACAGTTCTCTAAGAAATCTATTTGCCAATCATTAACTGAAGTAATAGGCTTTCTTCGAATATCATTTAATCTAATATCTAGACCTTTTGCTTTACTGTTGACAATAAGCCATCACTTAACAACTGTTTCAATAAAAAGTGCAGTATCCTCAGCTTCAGGAAATTTTACATGTAATGCTGCAACTGTTTCATCACAAAAAACTTTAAGAACTAATCCAACATTTTGTCGTTCAATTGGTTTTGGTGACACAGCTTTTTGTGTTAAGGGTGACAACTTAACTATTCGACTATCTACAGCATGAAGTTGGATTATAAATTTCCATTCTGCAAGTCACACAGTATCGTTATCATTTAGCAATCTATATTTTAAACATTGTAATTTTTCAGTGATCCAATTATTTCGAATACATTTTAAAATATGCACAGTGTCATTTAAAAGATAGTATGCTGGAACTTTTTTTGCATTAAAATATTGAAATGTTTTTTGGTTTACTCAACAATTATCCATTATTAACCTAAGAGGCTTTCCACCTGCAATTATGATTTGTTGATTTAATTCTTCTATCACGCTTGTTTGAAAATTTGTTGTAACTTTACAAACTGGAAAAACTTTTATAACAAGTCGTGGGCCACCAAAAAGACAAAGGAGCATAGTCCTAATGGTGTATTGTTTGTTTTATTTAATAAAGCTACTTGATGCCTGATATAACTTGCTCACTTAGAATCTGTTTCATTATTAATAACATAACTAACAGCATTCTCCAGTTGAGAATAATATTTAATAACTCCTTTGTTTAAAAAAGACAGTTTAATTTGTAAAAGTTGGCTATATCCAGTAAAATAAATATCTCCAGAATCTTCTAAAGTTATATATATTGAAAACTTAGGTACTGGTCCACAATGTTCATATGATATTAAAGATATATTTTTTTCTTTTTCAACAAAATAAAATTTTTCTTAACAGTAATTTATTATTGACTTCAAATTTTTTACAATTGTATTAAATTGAATAACGTCCATTTTTTTGAAGTTTTCGAACTCATCAGGTAAATTATTTCTTTCAGAGCATATCAACCCAGTCATATTAACCCAGTGAAATCTCGTTTTCTAGACACTATTGGAATACAAGACACTTGTATACCTTTAAAGACTGATGGAGGATGCACTGGAACAAAACTACCACCTTTAACTTTTTTTAATTCTGCATCTTTAGGCCAGTGCTGAGCACAAATTCGCTTATAATCTGTAAACACAAAGTTTGCATTTGGAAGTTTTTTAATCCATAACTCGCGATCCTCGGATTTAAAAGAGAATCTATACATTGTGACATAAACATTATCTTTTACTTTTGTTTGTAATTTGAGGAGCAACCATAAACGCAGCATTTATTAGGCATTTTACGAGTTTAACTATTATAGTTTAAATCAAACAACCAAAATCCTCATTGAAACTATACTTCTCCGTAAAAAAATCGGCCTTCGCTAATTTTACGGAAAATGAGCTGTCGCGGCCGAAGGCCTTGCTTTTACGTAAATTTTGTATTACTTTGTGCATTTTAACATAACTAAAATAAAGTTCAAAATAATTCGAACTATTTTCCATAATAGTTCGAACCAGTTCAGGTTCGAACTTTAAAAAAAAGTTTTAACTGGAAACACTAGTTACAGAGCTGATACATAGATCAGTTTTAATTACAAGATTTCAGTTAAAAAAACATAAAAAGTACCTTACCAACATCAACAGTTGCCGTAAAGAAATATCAATTGTCAAATTAACTGGTTTTCCAGGTAAATTAGGCAATGCATCGTTGCTGTATTTGTCATCATTGTTGAATAAAAATTTAATCAAAGCAACTTCCGAGCTTGTTCCTTCTAAATCATAATTCATTTTTATAGATTGAAAAAAAATTCTTGTCAAATTGCAATAAATAAAAAACTTTAAAAGTAGATGCTATGCTAGACTCTTAACTAAGAATTTTACATGTCCACAATGTGGACATGTAAAATGTCTCAATTGGACTCCACATACTACAACAAATTTTTATAAAAAAACACATAAAATGTTGTTTTTTTATAAAAAAACATATATATATATATATACTTTAACCTAATGCAATATATATATACATTTATAACCAGTACCCAGTCGTTATTGTTAGGTTAACCGCATTTTGTGTTAGTTGGCACAACTGCATTAAATTTGCAATTGGATCTACCGCATTCTGTGTTAGTTGACGCAACAATATTTAATATACAGTTGGTTAAACCAAATTTCGCATTAGTTGAACCAACTAAGAGATGCGGCTGGTGTTAAAGTCTTGGCGTGTGGCATACGTGTGGAAAACGCATTTTCGACCCACTGACTAATAATTGCTTTTATTCATAACTTTTTGTTTTATGACCAGTTAATCCGTAAAGTATTTGAAATAACGGTCAATAATAGCGTTTAAATGTGGCCAATAATAGCGCATCGTTGGGGCTTTAACATAAAATTTGTTGAGTCAGCGTTTGCTTTTCTGGCAGCTTTGTTATTAATTAACTCAAAAAAAATGGCTTCTTTAAATCTTAAAATTTAACTATGCTTAGTTTACGCTCATTAAACTTATATTAGGTGTGTTTTATTATAGTATTATATATAATAACTAAAATTCCTTCTATTGATTATATATACCAATGGTTTATAAAAATTGAGCTAACTCACCAGAAGCTTTGTTCATTGCACCGTAGAAGAAAATCAAGATGAGCAAACATGTTTCAAGATGACCTAATATGAACATGACCAAACAGTTTTCCTTCAATATTTAACTTCACTAAAACGATTTATTTATTTATTTGAGAACATAAAAATAATAAAGAATAAAACAAGTATATGATATACAATATATAATATATAATGATATTATATATTATATTATAATATAATATACAATAATAATAACGTTTTCTAATTTTAATAATTGAATTAAATGCAATTTATAAAACCATAAAAAACTGTTTTCTCACAATAAGAAATTTTTTAAAAAAGTTTGATTTTTTAAAGTTACAAAAAAAGATTTTACAGTTACTGTCTCAATGTTTTTTATTCATTTTTATTATATAAGACTTTTTTTTTAGATAAATGTAGGTCTTTTGAGATCCGGTTAACTTACTTTTAGAAATCATTGTTTTATATACTTTTGCTTCACATAAAACGAACGTTTATTATATATTTATTATATATAAAATATTATATTAATTACAAAGTGTATCTATATTTTTTTAAATATATTATATTATATTTAAAAAAATATACATCAACTTTATTTTTATTTAAACAATATAACAAGTATAATAAAATTTTATTGCACAATAATTTTTTCTCATATTTTCACAATTGCATCATAAAATAGTTTGAGCTCTTTTTTAAAGACAGGTTTACCCTTGAACGCATAAACTTGTCTGAGTAGCATGAGTAATCTTGTAAAAAGACTTTTAATAAATTTTAATGCCATAAAGAGAAACTAGTTACTTGATCTGCGACAAAAAGATTTATAAAAAAAAATTAGTTTAATCAAATATTTTAAAACACGTAATTTTTTTTATTTTGACGGAAAAATATTTGTGTAAACTGTTTTGACAACTTCTAAAAATTTAAATAAAATAAAATAAAACTTATTAAAATTTGTTTTTTTTTTTTGATAACGAATCAAAATTTAATTTTAAACCTAAAATTGATTTACTAACTTATTGATTGGTTAATTGAGTAATCAACTAACAATTTAAAATACGAATAATTATAAGAATTAAGGTCCAATTTTTATTGAAAAAATGCAAAAAAATGAAAATAAAATACAAAAACATTTTATGAAAAATAACTAAAGTATAAAAAAAAGTCCTATTAATTGATAAAAGTTTTTAATAATAATAAAAAAAATATTTAAAAAAAATAATTAAATTGATTAAAAAAGATTTCCGAAAGAAATTATGATCAAAAAACTACAAAATAAGTCGTTCTAGAGTTGTTTAAAAGAAGTAATTTTTGCAATAAAATCTAAACTTTTTCTACATTTTTGTTTTTAAAATCCTTTTTTTTCAAAAAGTAAAAAAGTTTAGTAACTCTTGTAGATGCATATTTGTCTCGTTGACCCACATTTGAAAATAATATATTATTAGAGCCCAAAATGTTTTATCATTTAAAGGTTAAACCCCTAGACTTTTTGAAACATTCTGAAAATTAAATTAAATATTTTTTGTAAGTAAGCAACAACTTAAATCAATATTTACACCTTAATATAACGTAAAAATGAAATAATAATAAAAAAACTGGTATTTGATATTTTATATCAAATGAGAACAGAGACTTTGGAGTAACTTTCAATAACATCTCAAGTTAGGTCACTATATACATTCTAATCAAAATATTCCAAAATTACAAATTTAACTTCCCACTAACACATCGCAATAACATATTGCAATATCACAAATTTAATATCAAAAGTTTATAAAAACGAGTTTTTCGTGTTATTTTTCACAATCAACGTTTCGCGACATATCTGCTTTCCGTCACGTACATAATTATTTTCGTAACAAAAATACTTTATTATTCAAACGTTTTACAGTAAATTAAGATAAAAAAATTAAAAAGAAAAAAACGTAATTTAATTACATTAATTCAATACGCCTTTTAACACCTGCTCGCGCATGTAAGAATAATAGTTCTCAAAAGAGTATTCGGTAAAACCTGTTAAAATCTCAGTAATAATGCTAATCATTTCTTCTGGATTATTAAGTCGTGGTTGTATCCCTCTGAATAAATTTTTAAATACACCATACAAACTGTAAGATGGTAAAAACTATACAGAACAATTATTCCTCAAAATGTTGATTCTACGATTCCATTGTAACATATCTTCATTCATTTAAAAGTGGTCTTAGATCTTCAATTTATGACCAGTTAATCCACTTATTCATTTTAGCAGAATTAAAGACCCAAGCCTTTAATTTAAAACCAATACATCCCGAAACTGAAATAACGCATATTAATGTAACATTTCTACCTCTCTGTGTTGGGATATACTGTAATATACGAGTTACTTCCAATAATGCATATCTATAACGTCGTGAATTGTGAAAATTAAAACTGTTTTCATAAATATAAAACAGATCAAAGTTTTGCACCAAAAAAAAAAAAAACAAGTTTGCAAAACGTGAACCTTGTTGCTATTACCTGAGATGAATTTATCGCAACAACCACCGATTTAAACCTCCTAACAGTATATGTTTTAATTCTCTTTTAGTTGTAGCTGTTGAGCATTAATTTTTTTTGGCATTTTTTTGGCAATGTATATTGTAGTTAATGTATTATTTGAATTAATTAATAATTCAATTTCTCTCTTTTTTTTCAATGTACAATCTCGTACAGCTCTGCCGTTTTTTTGGTGCATTGTATTTTGATCTCGTTCAAGTTTTCGTATTCCGTTTTGAATCGTCCTGATCGAAAGACCTGTTGGATTGGTGATAGATCGACTTGTGTCGTTACTATTTATCATTCCTTTTATTGTAGAAATATTCTCTTTGGTCGCAGTTTTGTTTTCTTTTTTTTTTCTGACTGCACAGCGAAACAAAAAGACTAATGCTTGCTTTACGAGATTTTAAAATCGAATTTAAATGTCGCGTTCTTTTATTACTGATTTAACGTCTGTTACGGATACTTAGTATATTATTATACTACGTTTTCATTACAGTTAACTATCAATAAAATATTAATATCCTAATTAGTGTTACGGTAAATAGTAATAATAAATTTTAAAACATATTTTTGACGCTAGTCGGTCGAATGCGAAGTGCGAACCGCAAACTGCGAACCGGTAAAATTCGAACTTTTTTGCGAACCATAGTTCTATTCGTTGTTAATGGTGTAATATTTTTCATTTTTTGTTTGCCATGTTTATTCACTGTTTATTTTACAATATTTTTTATGAACTTCAAGTAGAAATATAAATTATAATTAATTTAAAAGAAATAAAATCTATTTTAAATAAAATATATCGAATTCCACTTTCTTTAGTTTCAACTAAATAATTGATGAGCCAACGTTTTTTTAAATATCATAACTGTAGTGTTCATTAAAATATAATATCTTGGTTCACAAAATAGTTCACATTTTACCGAAATTTTTGACACGTGTTTTTTTCTTTGTTTAAACACACAACAGAAACCATGTGTATTTTTATTATAAAAGGTTACACATTGTGTAATATTTTATGAAGTTGTGCCGGAGTTTTAAACTTATGAATTCTATTCAAAAAACATTAATCAAAACGTTTATTAAGCAAAAGGATGTACCAAAAGGCCAGATAAATCAAAGGTTAAATAAATTAAAAGTTGGTTGGTTATGACCTTAAAATGATAAAAACATAAAATTAGATTAAAAAAACAATATAAATCCTTAATAAACTACAGTATTAATGCAAACATTAAAAGATATTTCTCAGGTCTGCTTACCAATAAAATTAACTAAAAAGTAAACCGATTATGAATGTCCATTCATATTAATAATGTTATTCATTATACTGTATTAGTTTTTTTTCTGACATATTTTTTACGTCGTCCAAAAAGTTCTGATTCTTTTGATAGACTTAAGAGATCGTCCATAAAGTACGTACGCTCGGAGGGGAAGGTCTACAAAGGACGTATATGAGATGGGAGGGCAGTGGGTCAATTATAAAAGAAAGAAGACACTATATTAAAAAAAATGTTAATAAATGTTAGATAAATAGGTTAAAAGCGTAGGTACATATGGGAGGTGAAGGGTACTCAAAAAAGTATATTGCAAAAAAAATAAAGGAGGGGGGGGGGGGAATGGACGTATAAAAAAGCGCACGTATTTTATCGACAACCCCTATATACTCTTTAAAGCTAAATTTTTTTTAATGAAAAGTAATAACATACCATTAAAACAGAAAGTATTAAAAAAACAGACGTTTATAGACAACCATTCATTTTTTACTATATGTTTTTGCATTAGAGCGCTTTAGCATTTTAACAACATATTTTTAAAAGGTCAACTAACGTAGTTTGTTTAATTTTTTATACATAATTTATTGTCTTTTGGAATTTTGTTAAAGAATTTAAACATTGAATCTGTTGTTGGTTTCTTTTTGTTACATAATTTAGCTGTTTTGGATTCTTTTTGCGTCATTTTGTCTTCCAAAAATACATAAAACAGTTATTTTGATAAAATTTTGTTGAAGATTTTAACAATTGTTTTTAGTGTTCATATAAACTATTTCAATTATATTTAAAATTTTTTATACTTTATTTTTATTTTTTTGTTTTGCAAAGTGAATCCAAAATAAATATTCTTTGAGTTTTCTAGTTCACAAATTATTGTCTCCCTAAACGTTGCAATTACTAATTAATTTTTATTTATTAAATTTCTTAAAGTAATTTCAAACTTTTGATAATATTTTTATTTGAGGTGCGCTAAGAAGACCAAACGGTAGAATGCCGTAAAGGAGCATTTAACTTGGAATGTCCTTCTTTGTTACCAATAAAAAAAAATGTGTCAGGAATTTGCATCGAAACCTGGAACTCTTACTCCTATAGCAAGCGCTATATATATTACATATATATATATATATATATATATATATATATATATATATATATATATATATATATATATATATATATATATATATATATATATATATATATATATATATATATATTTTATATATATATATATATATTCAAATATATTATATTTGAATATATGTATACAATATATTACTTAAATATATATATTTATATATATATATATATATATATATATATATATATATATATATATATATATATATATATATATATATATATATATTATATATATATATATATATATATATATATATATATATATATATATATATATATATATATATATATATATATATATATGTATATATATATATATATGTATATATATATATATATATATATATATATATGTATATATATGTAACATATGGATGTAAACAAATTAGCTCCCAATCAAAAAATGGAGTTAAGGCAAGTTGGCTCTTAGGTACAGAGATAATTTCAACATAAAATTTGAAATCTGTTGATGAATACACAACTAGTTTATATTTATAAAAAGATAAATAATTTAACTCATTACCCTCACGTTAAAGGTAAAGAGGGCTAAAGTTTTAGCGTTTCTTGTTCCCGTTTTCCTATCACAGTAATTTTTTTTTGTGAAGAATCTTTTCATCATACATATGAACGTAAAAAAATTTGGATAATTCTTTTTGTTTTAAAGTTGGTTGTTTCAAATATTTAAAAACCTTCTTATGTATGTAAATACATGCCACTGCATGTATTTACATACATAATCATTGTCTCTCTTTTTTTTATAAAAAAAAGAGAAGACCCTCATGAATAAAAAAAGAAACTTAAAAAGCAAAATTAAAAGCAACTTCTTCGGTGGAGGAGATTACAAAGTAGCTTTGGAAAAGGTATTAAGAAACTGTAACATAGTGTTTAGAATGAGAAGATTGGAATCAAAAATGCCTTTCAATGTCCTTCTAACTATAAGACTCCAGCAATGTCAGTTAAAAATAATTATTAAGAAAACGAGAAGAGCTCATTCAGAAAGAGAAGCAAAACTAATTAAACAATTTAAATTAAAAACTCAAAATATCGATTTTTTTGTTTGCAAATAAAATTTATAGATTAAGGTCGTACACAATTAAAAAAATTATTTCTTTAAAGATGTTTATGTTAATAATGTTTTTTAGATTTATAATGACAAAAGCATAACTACAAAACAAATATGTAGTATTTGTTTTGTAGTTATGCTTTTTATATTAATAATAATTATGCTAAAAATAATTATATTAATACACTAATTATGCAGGTTTTTTGTTCCAAGAAATTTTATGATTGCTAAAGATATTCTTATAACTTAAGATATTCTTATAAACTTTGCAAACTAATCAAAAACAATGCAAAGAATGTTCGAAACTAAAAAAATAATTTATAAATTTTAATTTGGTTAATTAAAATAACTTGAGTAATATTTCCCAAAAGGAAGTATAAAAAATGTATAAATAAACTTTTTTTTGTTTAGAACATATATATATAACTTTTATTTCATATATAATAATTTTTTTGTTTAGAACATATATATATATATATATAACTTTTATTTCATATATAATAATTTTTTTGTTTAGAACATATATATATATAACTTTTATTTCATATATAATAATTTTTTTGTTTAGAACATATATATATATATATAACTTTTATTTCATATATAATAATTTTTTTGTTTAGAACATATATATATATATAACTTTTATTTCATATATAATAATTTTTTTGTTTAGAACATATATATATATAACTTTTATTTCATATATAATAATTTTTTTGTTTAGAACATATATATATATATATAACTTTTATTTCATATATAATAATTTTTTTGTTTAGAACATATATTATAAAGACTCTATAAAGAATGAATCCTAAAAACTTTAATAAAATTGAAAAAAAAAATTTATAGTTATTTCGTATCAAAATTAAAAAAATGCTAAGAAAAACTCATTGAAAAGAGTAAAATAATTTAAACAGTTTCTATAGTTACTAAAAAATTTAAAATGTTAGATCTAATAGCACAACTGAAAACTCAAAAAATCTAAATTGTGTTTATAAGTTGATCAGAATTACTACTGTTTCCTGATTAATTTATTTTTTAACAGGAAAGATCAGGGATTATTTTGGTTTGTAAATAACTAGAAAGATACACACATACCCTTTATATTCTACTGATGTTAGGTTAGTATTATATGATTTGTTAAGAAGAATTTACTTTTTTATAGCAAACTATTTAATAAAGTTAGTCTATACCTATGCTATATTTTGAAAGTAATTTTATTTTAAACTAGTTTCTATTAGAATATAAAATAAAATTGTTTTTATTAAAAAATTGTTTATGATAATATGTAATAGTACATTAAATTGTTTTAAAATTTATAATATCAAAATCTGATCATACCTTTTTAAGTTATTATTATCAATTTGATTATTGTTTGTTTTGAAATAGTCATCTGTTTTTAAAAACCCTTTTGTGGAAAATAGGTTGTTTTTTTTTGGTTAATGTTATGTAGAGTAGTAATTGCCTTCTTAATTTCGAAATCTGTGGTTATCTCCCTATCAACATCTAAAAAATTTTTTCGATATTATTCATAAAAATCAAAGAGAGTTATCAAAAATGCTTGAATTAAATTAGAGTCATAGTGATTGTTATGATTTATTCATAGTTTGTGCTAATTTAATTTTTTATTGTACAAAAGTTATTTAATAAAATATAAAACATAAGCTTTTTACTTTAAAAGTTTGATGCAATTAGCAAATTTTTTTGCTTCTTTTTTTTTTAATTTAAACAGATTTTCTGAGGTTATTGATAAAATACAGAAATGTGGGATGCAAAAATGCGGAAATTTTTTAAAGGGTAGGCTGCACAGTGGGGCAGAATTGCTTCAAAACCGGACATTTGACGAAAATGAAAAAAATTTTAAAAATAACTCACTTGCGCGAGTTATTAAAACTATTTTGTTTTTGTTAAAACTGAAGTTTGTTAAAAAATTATGAATTTTTTGCAGGGATTCTTCAATTTTAGGTTTGCAGCTGTCTTTTGAAATGAAAAAATAATTTTAAAGTGCTTAAAATATATATTAATATCCCAGACAGCAAACTTACATTGGTCCAACGTAAGTTTTAATATTGGCAAGTTTATTCCGTTGGGCCAACATTTAGCCAATCTTTTTTTTCAACGTATTATTTTAAATTCTGCAAATCAGTTTTTTGTAAGTATCGTACTATATTGGGCCAAGGACGTAGAATAAGATTTTATTTTACGTCCTTGATTGGGCCAACATTTAGCCAATGTTTTTTTTTCGGCGTAATATTGCTATTCCATAAATCGGTTTTTTACAATTATGGTACTACGTTGGGCCAACATTTGGCCAATGTAGTTTAGGCTTAATATTTTGCTGTTCTTACATTTATGCCTTAGCCAATATTCGGCCAATGTAGTTGCGGATTAGTTTATATTTTTAAAAATGGTATCGTTTGACAAAAAAAGACCTTTATAGGTCTTTTAAAAAAGTGCATTTGAAATAATTTATTTTTATTTAATTTTTTCAAACAATGTGTTTTTTGTTTATGTCCTCATTTAGATACAGTTTCCAATTTTTTTTTAATGAAATTGCTGATGAATACAGATTGTAAAACTTTTTTTTTGTGTTGCACTTATTGAGGCCTTAAGTGTGTATTAATGGAAAAGTGTCAGTTACATCAGTAGTAAACCAGGTAACGAAACCATTTTGTCCTGTTTTAATTTAAAACTTTTAAAGCTATTTGCACCACTGTGGGCCGGGTGAATAAAAAACAACAATTGCTTATATTAAATATTTGGTCAGCTTTACCTAAATAAAAACTTTAGCAACTTATCCAAACTTTTATTTTTAAAAAGCTGAACAATTATTCAGCGTTTTTCGAGAAAATTGCTTAGCTTTACATGATTAAGAAGGGGCTTTTGCCCCAGGCGCCAAGTTTTGAAAGGGCGCTAGCTGTCAGAATGGTAGAATCTTAGAAAGCCATTAAATAGTAATGTTACATTGTTTTCACGAAAAATTTTATATTATCATTATGTCCAAATCATAGATCGACTGATAGACCTACTATATATATCCAACTTTTTTATCATATTATTTACTGTTCTGCCTACATGTATACGTGCGCACGTTTTTTTTTAAACGAGAATACTATAATTGGAAACTTATCTTTATAAAAATTATAAATGTGTCTAGTTATTCGTGAGAAAACGTTGATTTGGTATAAAAAAGTGACGTTGCTCAGTTTGGCTCCTTTTTTAGAGGATCCTATTTTTTAAAGCATCAAACCTATCTTTTAATATATATAAGCAGTTCATAGGTATAATGGCAGATCATTTTATACAACAAACAGTGAAATAGGTAAAGAAAGATAAATTTTTCCATCATTATTTTTTCATCAGTATTGATTCTAATTCTGGTATTAGCCGTGTAGATTAAGTGGGTTCATTTTTCGGTATGTTCAAAAGAAAGGTTGTCCTGTATAGAAATTTTAGAGTTTTTACCCACTATGGGCATAAATCTTAAGAATCAGCTGACGCTATATTTTTAGTTTTAGAATTGCATGGATTCGATATAACAATAGTTGTGGTTACGATTACAATGCGTTTAACATGTCTGGTCTGGTATTTGTACCATGTTTGGCATACTCTTTAAATCTTGATGGTTGATGCGCTGTGTACTGTTGTAGAAATGCTTCAGAATTTTTTATTTTCCTTCAAAATATCTGTAACTTTTTCAATACTTTTACATATTGATGAGAAATATTTCAGAACAATTTAATAAAAACAGAAAATGTATCACTTAAAAACTATTAGATACCAGGTGGTCAGCCAGTTTCAAGCCATATTGAAGCATTTATAATGGCTGCATTGAGAGGGGATATACTTGAAAGATTCAACAAAAATAGTAAACAACTGCATTCAGTTAAGATTGATTTAAAAACAGTTGTAACTTTATACAAATCTTTAATTCAATATGTATTAGATCTGAGTAGTATGTTTAATATGTATGAAAATAGAGAGAGAGAGAGAGAGAGTGAGAGAGAGTGAGAGAGAGAGAGAGTGAGAGAGAGTGAGAGAGAGAGATAGAGAGAGAGAGAGTGAGAGAGAGAGAGAGTGAGAGAGAGTGAGAGAGAGAGATAGAGAGAGTGAGAGAGAGAGATAGAGAGAGAGAGAGTGAGAGAGAGAGAGAGAGTGAGAGAGAGTGAGAGAGAGAGAGAGTGAGAGAGAGAGTGAGAGAGAGAGATAGAGAAAGAGAGAGAGAGAGAGTGAGAGAGAGAGTGAGAGAGAGAGAGTGAGAGAGAGAGTGAGAAAGAGAGAGAGAGAGAGAGAGAGAGAGAGAAAGAGAGAGAGAGAGAGAGTGAGAGAGAGAGATAGAGCAATTAATAAATCGGAACACACAACATATCAAAAAATACAAAAAAGATAAAGAAAATTAACTGCAGATGAAAAAGAGAAAGAGAAATAAATTTTGAAGTTCTTTTAGGATTAACACATATTTTATTGATTTTATTGATAAACTACATTCTGAATTAGAAAGAACAAAAAATGTGTTATGATGAAGCCAATACAAATTTTAACTTTTTGTTTCAAATAATAAAACTATCACCATCAGAAATGTACGATAAGTAGTAATACTTCAATATATATATAAAAAAATAATCTTTCGACTTTATTTGCTAACGAGTGCAAACAATTCAAAAGTTTAATGGCATTATAAATACATTTGCAAAACAAAATTCTTATTTGCTAACGAGTGCAAACAATTCAAAGATTTAATGGCATTATAAATACATTTGCAAAACAAAATTCACGTAGAAATTTATATATTTTTAATGTTTAGTGAATTTTATTTAATATATATGTTTGTATTGAAAATATTATTGTTTTTTCAATAATCAACCAATATCTAAATATTCAGTTATTTGTAAAAGAGGGCGCTTAAATAATTAGTGCCCCAGGGCGCCAAAAATATAAATACGTCTCTGCTATTTATATGTTTGTGTTATATAATATTTGTAAAAAATAGATAAAAATGTAAAGAAAAAAAAAAAAAAAAACATTTTTATGAGTTGAGTGTACAAGCTTAATAGTATTAAATATTGAGGAATAATATATATATATATATATATATATATATATATATATATATATATATATATATATATATATATATATATATATATATATATATATATATATATTTGTTATAACCTCAGTATATATATATATATATATATATATATATATATATATATATATATATATATATATATATATATATATATATATATATATATATATATATATATATATATATATATATATATATATATATATATATATATGTATATATATATATATATATATATATATGTATATATATGTATATATATATATATATATATATATATATATATATATATATATATATATATATATATATATATATATATATATATATATATATATATATTATATATATATATATATATATATGGAGTCTTCATTTGTCAATTACAAAATCAATTTTACCTATGTTTTTCAGCTATGACAGAATTAACTATTTTAGGTATCTTTCAGCATATTGGTTAGAAATGACATTATTCAACAAAAAACATCCTGGTAAGTTAACTAACAAGGCAGTATAGTTCTTTGTAATATAAAATTTAAATGTATCCTTTTGCATTTAACAGATACGAGGGTAACTTTAAATACAAACAAGTAGTTTCTCATAAACCTCGCAAAGAACATAATCACTGACGCTCACATTTTGAATAACGCTAAGAAAAACAGTTTCCAAATCTTTTTCAAACTCTAGTGAGTAACAATTAGCAGAAAAAGTTTTTGTTATATTGTTGAAATCTACATCAAGGTCACTGTTCGATTTGCGAACAGTGACCTTGATGTAGATTTCAACAATATGAGTTTTTCCTCACATTTTTGAATTTTTTTTTTTGAGTTTCTTTAACCTTTTTTTTTGTTTAATACTTCATCTTTTATTAAAACCTCTGGTTTGATGTAGTTATCATAAACTTTTTTTTTTTCTTAAAATCTTACGAGATGGTGCCAGAAAAATATATATTATAGTATTAAATAATTATAGAAAAACCTAAACTCAGAATATTTAGCTTTAATTACCTTTTACGAGGATAACCTCGTACAATTTCTGGTAAAAATACAGTTAAGTTTTTTTTAACTCTTGCATATCCTGACCTGAGATATCTGAAGGAGTAGCAGTTGTAATTGAATTCTCACATGAGCCTCCACTGCATGGTTCTTAAGGTACATTTTTATCTGTTACAACTGATGGTAAAAAAATATCATTCCCATTTCTATCATATGGCCAAATTCCTATATTGCTGCATTTAAATATGTTTTCATTGGATTAAAAATAGACATATCTAAAGGTTGTGTCTTTCAAGAAGTATGTGGTGGCAAAGTTTTCATACAAAGATGGTTTTTTTTTGCATATTCTAGTGACTGTAGTGAAAGTTGGTTTTCATGATTATTCATATCCTATAAAACTTTGTG